TTAACATGCCTCCAATACCACAATCCATCAAGTTATATGCTGATAACACAGAGCCTATTGTTTTCTTCACCGAGTCATCCTCTCAAGGGAGTTCACAAGAACCGAGCGGTTCCTCGAGTGGTGTTTCCCAGTCGAAGAGCCCTTCACCTTGAAGGTAATTCTATATAGTTTGATTTTCTTTGTTATAGTCGCAGTATATACTCTTCCGTTATGGAATAAAGGAGTAATYGACTTTTTAAGCTGTTATCGCATTATGCAGTCAATTGTCATGGTATAAAAGAGTAGAATACATCGTCATACCTCGGATCATTGTTATGGTAGTGTTGACTCAAACATTTTTACAAGAATCATTATTTGGTTTGCTGCGTAAACCAAGTACGATGGTTCGAAAAACATTCCAACAGCTCGGTGTCTTTTAAAGAAAATGTTAAAAGTTTAAGGTCAAATAGTCAACGGTATCGACTTTTGGCGGTCTTTGCTAAGGTTGAGCAGCATTTGACACGATTGTTGATTGCAATTACGTCAGAAAACTAGAATACGGAAGCACGCGCACACCCTTCACCAATCGACTAAGACAAGACGTTGGTTGGGATACACTAATAGGTGGTGGTCCTTAGTGCCACCCCTTTATTCATGCTGCAAATTTCGTCAAAGTCGTGACAACCTTTCTTAGAAATTTCAGACAATTACACATTTGAAATCCATCCTTTCATTCTTTGGGGTAAAAAAAAAGTTTGTATACATCTCATCTTTTTCTTTTTCAGATCCTACGTTCGAGTGGAATATGTTGAATTAATTTGATTTTTTTTTTGATTTTTTTGTGCAGAAAATTGGAAAGATTGAGCTTTACATGATGCGTCAGTGAATCATCATCCATAAAGAGTGGTGGAAATTGCAAATGATGAAGCCAACCAAGCACCAAATCTTAATAATCAATACTAAGTAAACCACTTGCTATTTTTTGAAACACCAATCTTGTAAACTTAATTATTTTATATAAATTTCTACATTTCAATCAAATGAGAAAATTAAATTTAGAACTGGTGTTATTTTTGAGAGCGTTTATATTTGATGCTTTTAAAACTGTTGTTAATTTAACGGAGCTCTTTTAACAGAGTTAAAGAGATAGACCAAATACGAAATAAAATGACAATTAGAGGGACCACATTCGAAACCAAAATTGTAATTAGTTTAAAAGAGGACACTATAGGGACTAAAAGTGTACTATACTCTTAGGATAATTACCATTTCAAATTAGATAAATCCTTATAAATCTTATTATTGTTCTAGAATAACTGAATGATCAATAAAATAGAGAGAATGAGTCTGAAAAATTCTCATTAATCGTAAGTTTTTTATATAAAAATGCGTTACAAGTGGATAACTATGAGAGCTATGAGTTGCAATCTATCTCTAATGTGTTTATCTCTATCATCATATTCTTTAGACGATAACACATTTATTCTACAACAATTATATTGTTTAAATTTATTTATTTATAATTAATTCGTAATTTTTTTTATCAACTTCTATATAAAAAAAATTCTTGATCCACTTTTGATAATTTTTTTTCTCAATTTTCATCAAATATTACTTGTGATATCCACAATCAATCACTACAAACTAAATTAGATTTATAAAACGCCCACAAAATTTAAGCATTCTAATAGACGATTTTATAAGACTTAATTTATAGGACCAAAAAACAATTAGTTTTATTTAAAAGCGTTGTAATAAGTTTATAGAACGTTTTGGACGTCTTAACAAGTTTTTAGAACATCTTTAATACAAAGCATCCTATTAACAATTGTATATGACATTATTTGAAAAAACCCTTATAAAAACAAATGTTCTATAAAAAGATAAGTCCACATGACACTTTTTAAATAATATCCTATAAAAGTACCAATGTAACACTTTGTGTTAAAAGTGTCCTAAAAAAATTGTTTGGACAACGCCATTAGATATGACTCTTTATATTTTGTTTCTAAAACTTAAGTCCTATAAAACGGTTTATTATGACGCTTAGAAATTGGTGGCGTTCTATAAACTCAATTTTGTTGCAATGAATTCATATGTGATAATTATAGATATTTTTATGAACCATATGTCATTATGTATATTTACATTTATAGATCCTTTTGTGATATAAATATTATACATGTGATAATACGTCATTTATATTCAGACGAATAGCATCATATGTGATGTGTACAAAAGCACATAGTAGATCACATGTAATACGYAGTAGATCATATGTTAAACGAAACTAATCACACATAATTTCAAACGCGTAGATCCAAAAAATAGAGAAGAAAAATGATGAAAAGATGACGAATAAATTGTGGACATGACATGTGATATTTTATGAAAATTGTAAATTTATTTATTTATTAAAAGTGTATCTAAAATAAAATTATAACAAATCTTGATAAAAAAAATTGGATAGATCGTAGGATGGGAGGCATGTTTACATCCAAAACACCTTCAAGAATTTGTTCGACCACCCTCATCGGAGGATGCACCATAAAAGTAAGTTCTCATCATACAACCTCTGCACTTCTTGTGAAGATAAACCAACCCTTCTGCTGTTCTCGTACCTCGTTTTCCAGCTGGCTGATGAGAATCTAGGCATGTGTCAATTCACCAACAACTTATTGCTACCTTCTGCACATAACCCACGAAGGCGTACAAGATGAACGTGTTGGGTGGTCCCGATTGTAAGGCAATATATGTATCTAGTAGACCAACTAGTGACACCCAATATATAGCATTCTTATTTTTAGAATCATAGAGCATTCTTATTCGGTCCAACCCTTGTGTTACAACTAATCTCTTATCTTGCATGTGTCTTTAAATATAAAAAGAAAATATATGTTCTAAAAAAGGGTAAAATTTGCTCAATCAAGAGCTACCGGATGGCAATTTGATGATCGATGCAGTCCATGGAGCTAGGTTACAGTAACAGGTTACAAAAGGCCCAATGTTGGACCGATCTTAAATTTGGAAAATGTTAACTATAGTAGGCCTCTAACTGCTCCGGAGTCTCTCCGCTGAGGAAAATGTTTTAGGTCTTACAAGGTGCATTGACTAAATTTTAGGGGGCCCCCTCGAAAATGCTATAAATCTAAGGGGTACTTTGAAATATTTTAAAAATAAAAGGGCTTAAATTGATATGTTTTCTGAAAATGAAAATAAAATACGAATTGAGTCCCTCATGAGAAGTTATTAATTTATTATGTTAACCGGTCACTAATGGCAAACATTAAACTTACCAAACGCTAAATCGTTAGTGTTAACTCSTCTTACATATCGTTTAGGTTTATGGCGCTACTCCGAACCCATGCAGCAAGGGTGCCCCCTTACTAGGACTGTTCTTGCAAGAGGGTGGGCCCAGGTCCTTCAAAAAAATAAGGGCCCCACTTTTTTTAGAATTTAATATTATAGTAGCACTAATTAAAAAAATTAGTAAATAAAGAGATATATATATTTTAGTATCTAATAAAACCCAAAAAAGACGGACCAATCATAATTAATTAATTACGTTGAAAAATAAAATATGTAAAACCCGAAAAATAAAATATGTAAAACCCGAAAAATTAATTGATCGTTTATAGTAATGCTTATTGGCTCTCCAAGTTCTTTATTTAGAATATAGTAATTTTTTTGTTATTAACTAAGAAAACTGTCTGTTTATGAAAAAAATTACCAATCATATGAGATGGGTCCAACTTATATCTATATTTAGGTTTTGGAAACTATTCTTGTTTTTTCATACATTATTGACTTCTTATTATTTAATAATGAATACATGACTTGTAAGTACTCTTCTATCTCTAAAACAAGAATAAATATCAAGCAATAACCACCATGGATTTTTGATTCTAAGATTGATGGTTTCGAAATTTTTTATTTTAACTTTTAACCCTAAAAGTTTAAAATAGTGATGRAAAACATGAACCTGGGATGAGATGAAAACCCAAGTGATTTATATTGATTTACACCGAGTTTGCTCAGAATACATTCAATATTGTGACCTTAATTAATGTCAATCTATATATTAAAGGTACATTATAAGATGTTTTAGGCGGTGGAACGGATTACCGACGGTCTGTAAAAATGATATGGTAGATAATATTCACTTAAAAATAATTATTGATTGATTTTACGTCTAGAAATACTCGGAAAAACGGTTTTATACTAATTATTCGTATTTTTCGAATACAATGTTATTTCCGATGATAAAATCAATATATTAAATATATTTTTTGTCATATTTATCGATGACATGTAGCCTATAAAATGTCAGGCTCCGGCCTGCCTTGACCACCATCGTTTGACGACATGCAACAATCCCGGACTAGCTTGACATTTATTTGTTGCATCGACTCTGAAAAAATTATGGATCCATCATTGATGGGTAATGAACCCGGTATCCAGACCCTAATTATACAGAGTGAGTTTGGTTTCTTTTGTTTTTTGGACGAGTTCATGGAGAAAGTTCATACTTTTTACGTCATAAGACTATTTCCATGCATGCATGATGCACTTAATGCCAACCATTGATAAATGACAGTTGGACAGATTTTCTTAGTTTCTAGGTTGACCGCAAGTTTTTCCTTCAAGTTTGTCTGATTGTGGTGCTCATATATAATTTGMGGGAATCAGCAAGGTTCAGCATATGCAGAAGCAGAAGCAGAAGCAGAGCATAATAAACATGATTTTAATCGCAGAAGCATGGCTCTTTTTCTGTTTCTTTTTCATTCCTTTTCTCTCATCTGGAGCTGATACTTTGGCTGTGAATCAATCTCTTTCTGGAGATGAAACACTTGTCTCTCTTGCTGGAAATTTYGAATTGGGTTTCTTTAGACCAGGTGAGTCTCCCAACTATTACGTAGGCATCTGGTATAAAAAGGTCTCTTCCAACCCTCCTACTGTAATTTGGGTAGCAAACAGACAAACACCCGTATCTGATAGATTCAAGTCTCGATTCAAAATCTTAGATGGTAACTTGGTGCTCTTAGATGAGTCAAACACTCAAATTTGGTCTACAGATCTTATGATGTCTACTTATTCAAGTTCGGTGTCTGTAGTTCTTCTTGATAATGGCAAATTAGTTTTGAGAAATGGTTCAAGTCCACCAATTTGGCAGACTTTTGAACATCCAACCCATGCCTTATTGCCTGGTTGTAAGCTTGGATACAACAAGCTGACAAATACTAAGCAGGTTTTAACTTCATGGAGAAGTAAAGAGGATCCTGCGGAGGGATTCTTTTCCTTAGAGATTGACCAAAATGCGTCCCAGTATGTACTGAAGTGGGATAAATCTGTGGAGTACTGGACTAGTGGAACTTGGAATGGTCGTTTCTTCAGCTCAATACCTGAAATGAGGTCGAATTTTAAGTATAATTTCAKCTTCTTTTYGAATGAKACTGAGAGTTACTTTACTTATTCTCTGTATGATAATTCCACTATAACTACACTTATGATGGATGTTTCTGGACAAATTCAGCAACAAGTATGGTTTGAGTCTCCCGAACAGTGGTTTKTGGTTTGGAGWCAGCCTRAAACAAAGTGTGAGATCTATGATTTTTGTGGGGGTTTTGGTACTTGCAAGCAGACTACTGGATCCGAATTCTGTAGTTGCTTGACTAGTTTCACGCCTAAATCAGATAGCGATTGGTATCAGAGTAATTTCTCTGGTGGGTGTGTAAGAAAAACCAATTTGCTGTGTGGTGGAGACGTGCAAGATCTTGATTTTCTCAATATTAAAGTCAAGACTGTGCCTGCAAATAATTCCATGGCAGTTGGTAGTGCTGAAGAATGTCGTACCAACTGTTTGAACAACTGCTCCTGTAATGCTTACACTTTTGTCAATAATCAGTGTTCAGTTTGGGACGGAGATCWCTTGAACCTSTCAGAAGACGACACKAGTGACAAAACAATCTACGTCAAGGTTGCTTGTAAAGACCTTCAACATCGTAAAACGCGTAAAGGGGTCACTATGAGTAYTRTTGYTGGGTCTGTTGCCGGTGTGGTTTTTGTCTTGGGTTTAATTTCGTTTATAATCTACAGAAAAAAGAGGMGTTTGGTTGGAAAAACGACAATGGAGGGMWTGTTGGTGGCTTTTGTATACARAGATTTGCAAATAGCCACCAAAAACTTCTCTGACAAACTGGGAGGAGGTGGTTTTGGTTCCGTTTTTAAGGGGGTTCTGCGTGATTCATCCGTTGTGGCAGTGAAAAAGCTTGATAGCATCAGCCAAGGAGAAAAGCAGTTTAGGAGTGAGGTCAGCACAATTGGGACCACCAAACACGTTCATCTTGTAAGCCTTCGTGGCTTTTGTGCAGAAGGCAACAATAAGCTTTTGGTGTATGATTACATGCCAAATGGTTCTCTAGATTCCCATCTTTTTCATGACAAACCAGTTTTAAACTGGAAGACAAGGTATGAGATTGCACTTGGAATAGCAAGAGGGTTGGTTTATCTTCACGAGAAGTGCAGAGACCTTATAATTCACTGTGACATAAAGCCAGAAAACATCCTTCTAGATGCTGATTTCTGCCCAAAAATTACAGATTTTGGTCTTGCAAAGCTTGTCGGTCGAGACTTCAGTAGGGTTTTGACAACTTTAAGAGGAACAAGAGGATATCTAGCACCAGAATGGTTATCAGGGGTGGCGGTGACAGCCAAAGCAGATGTTTTTAGCTACGGAATGTTGCTCTTTGAATTAGTAAACGGTAAGCGAAATGCAGAGCGATCTGAAGATTCAAGGGGTACATTCTTCCCTTGTTTGGCTGCAAGCGTAGTTATGGTGGGAGGTGACATCCTTAGCCTACTAGACAGCAAGTTAAACAGGGAAGCCAGCATTGAAGAAGTGACTAAAATTTGCAAAGTTACATTTTGGTGCATCCAAGATGAGGAAGATAATCGGCCTTCGATGAGTGTGGTGGAACAGATACTTGAAGGGGTTTTGGATGTGAACATGCCTCCAGTCCCACGATCCATCCGGCTCTCCGTTGATAACACGGAGCCCATTGTTTTCTTCGCCGAAGTAACAAGCTAGCTGTTCCGAGAAAGCAATCTTACTTCTTCAAGGTAATTCTGTATATTTCCTTTTGTTAGGGCAGCTCCAACCTTCATACAAAAAAAAAACACCAAATAGGTGGGCCCATAAACACAAAAAAAAAAGCTCAACTCCAACCGTTTGCCGTCCATCTCTTCCACGGAAAATTTGCCGCTCATTTCCTTCCTCCGGCAAAACTTTGGTGTATTTGGCGTGCGATTGGATCCAAAAGAACGGCAAAACCCTAGTTTTGCAGTTCGATTGGAGTTGCTCTTATGGTGGCATTATGCAGTACCTCGTTATGGAGTAATAGATTAAGCAGTCTTTTTAAGTAGTTATATTTTCTTTGTTAAGGTCGCATTATGTAGTCTGTATATTGTTATAGAAGAAAAGAGCAATTTAAATTGTTATACCTGCTCTTTTTTTTTTTTGGAAACAATTAATACGTTGGATCCTTGTTTTTGGTTTTTAATTTTCGCAATTTGGTGAAAACTGCTTGAATGAAATTAAATTAAGTAGATATATGACTTAGCGATATGGATTATGAGGGATGATCTTTTCTTAACAAAAAAAAATGGTGTTAACTTTGTGAAAAATAGCGGTCAAAGTAGGTGGTTATAAAAATATGACATTTTTCAGATATAAAATATGATTTGTCTCCCAAATCAGATATAATATCTGATTTGTCTCCTAAATCAGATACAAATAATTTTTTCGTATCATCAATTATTAAGAAATATTGACATTCGGTGGTGATAAAAAATATAATTTTAAACGATATGTTTATTAGTGAACTCAATTCAAATGATGTTCATGTGCGAAGAAGAAACATTAATACATGAAATATTAAATAGGTCCAAGGTTCAGTAGTGAACAATTTTCATAACTACCGATTTCTGTTACTTATCATATAAATGTTCATTGTTGAATTAATAAATCGTTCATAAATGAACAAATAATATGTGATTGATTTCGGTGTGAAAATGATGAAGGAGAGATTGCCGGGAACTGAAATCGGTGCATAATATAATCTCCTTATTTTTTTTTTCCAATTTTACTATGTCACTATTGTTCATCATGACATAACACGCATTCGTTTTACCATTATTACAAATATGTTACTAATGTTTTAATATGTAGATTTAATAAATTAAATGTCATGATTGGTTCACATATTTAACACCAAATATATCATCAACAATTAAACCAGTTTTTATGGATTATATTATAGTGTTGGAAGTTTGGGATTAGTTGAGTCATTTATGTTTCCACGACACTTGGATATTTTTAAATGTATAGAAAGGATTTGTGATTTCCGCTTCAAAACGAAATAACATGTTTGGTAGTTCGATGTGTTTTTTTTCTGATCCGTTTCTTGCAAAATATTAAAGTCAAATTTAGAATCTGTAATCAAATAAAAAGATTATTTTGATTTAATTTTTTGAAAACTTACATGTTTAGTAAACATCATTCTTAATTTATCTACTTCTTAACATTTTTTTAAATGTAAAAAGACTAAACAAGGCCTCAATTAGTAACAAAAATAGCAGTGTATGTGGGTTTGGGTTTCAAACGAAGACGAGATGTACAAGATGTAGATTGAGATTAACTTTTAGTGAATGAGTTGCGTTTATTGGTTTTTATGTCGCAATCAACAGGCATACACCTAGAAAACTACAACTCATAAATACAACAACATCCTTGATTGACCGACGATATCAAAGTTGTTGAATTATGTGGTCCTTAGTGACACCCCTTCCTTCATGTGGTACAACGTATGTCAAAGTCATGAACGACAACCCATTTTTTTTGATTTGGGAGTTCACTTTCTTAGACTTTTCAAAGGAAACAATCAATTTTGGTAGAGGCTTGTTTGTATAGTAGATTCCATCATCTCCTGTCCTGACCTTGCATTCACGGACATATAAGTTAATTTGGTTGATTTTTTTGCACATTCGAGAATATAACAAGTCAAAACCCCTCATGGATCGCTCACCAGAGTGGCCTAGACAAGCTTGGCCCCCCAACCATAGTCTCAACTCTTAAACCACAAGGGTGGTGCATGATTGGTTTGAGCTTGACTTCAAAGATTAAAAGTACCAGGATGTCACATGTTCAAATCCACGAATGAATAAAAATCCCCTTGTGGCTACGGAGGTTCAAATACAGTGACTCCGGTCTATCTGCAAAGTAAGTGGTCCTCTTGGGATTAGTCAGTTCGCATAGCGGGTTGGATATCCAGGTTAATCAAAAACTCTTAATTAACCTAACTTTTACGTATATAAAACAATAATAATTAAAAAATAGTCAAAAAGAACCCAAAGTCATGACGGTTTAATTTTTTTTTTCAGTAAGTGATCAAACTGGTCAAATTGAACAACAAAAAAAACAGTTTGGTCTAACTGTCTAAGCGGTTTAGACGATTTGGGCCTCTTATGGGGTTTAAACTAAAAAAAAAATACATCTATATATAAAATGAAATTTCTACCAATATAACATTACTAAAAAATAGTATCCCGAATTATAAATGTTTATCTTTAAAAAAAACATTGATCAAATTGAAAAAAAAATTAACAAATCCACCAACAATGATTGGAATTGGTGGACAAACTTGAGAAAATTGAAGGACAATTTGGAATCTTGGATTTGATATTTGACGGATTTTGGAATTTTTCAATTTAGACAACACAGTCAATTGAGAAATGAAAACTAAAAACATAATGTGTTGGATGAACTTTTTTTAATTGGCCCATCAAAATTAAGCCTACAACATGAAAACTAATTCATGTGCATTTTTAGCGGTCGGTTTGGTCTAGACTGCTAGGAAAACGTTCAAACTACATACCAAATCAAACCAGACCTAGCGGTTTGACTATTTTTCAGATTGAACCGGATCGTCAGACCGCTCAAACCATCAAAACGGTCCGATTTAACTTGGTTTGACCGATTTAAACGGTCCAACGAATATTTTGAACACCTCTAAGCCATAGAATCTCACTCTCTTGATGCATTTTAGTAATAAAAAACACTAAGGGCGCGTTTGGTTTGAGGGATTTGGAGGGATTTGGATTTGAAATCCATTCCCATCCCTGTTTGGTTTGCTAACAGATCAGGATTTCAAATCCCGTGTTGAACTTAAAATCCGGTAAACAAGGGATTTTGAAATCCATAGTAAATGGGCTGGATTTCAAATCCGGGCGACATCTCTTCTTCGACTTCTTCGACTCTTTCAATCTTCATGCCCTCATCTCCATATCTAGAACTCTCGTTTCAATCTTCATGCCCTTCGTCGCCGTTCGTCGCCCTCTCCCTTCGTCGCCGTTCGTCTCCCTCTCCCTTCGTCGCCGTTCGTCTCCCTCTCCCTTCGTCGTCGTTCGTCGCCCTCTCCCTTCGTCGCCGTTCGTCTCCCTCTCCCTTCGTCGTCTCCGTCGCCCACAGGTAAATCCTTTTTCCCCTAATCTGCTTCCTACAGATTAGGTTAAATATACAGATTAGGTTCAATATACATATTAGGTTGAGGGATTAGGTTGAATATACAGATTAGGTTCGATAATTTTGTTGTAGTTCTCGATAATTTTGCTGTAGTTCTCGATAATTGTCAATTGAGTAAGGAGACCCAATACTACAAATCCTACAAACCAAACAGATGATGGATTTTAAATCCAATCCATTCCAAATCCCATGGAATCCAAATCCCTCAAAAACATTCCTGCAAACCAAACGCACCCAAGTTTTTTGTGTTTATTTTAAAATTCTACAAAAATCCAATTTCCTAAAAAAGTTAACGTATAAATTTAATACTTTATATTTAAATGAAATTATATAAATGCAATTGTAAGTAAAGTAAAATTGTAATTTATTTGTGTAAGTTATTATATATCCACGATACGTGTCACACAACAATACTGTTAAGGAGTATGTAAACTTATAGACTTGTACACAAAGAATACGTTCGCCTTCATTTGAAAGTAATTCAAAAAGTCATGATTGACAGTTAAGTAATTATTCCTGAAGAATAATTATAGATCATGTGTTAAAACGTAGTTATGATAATTATTGGGTATTATCTGTAAATAAGCATAATTATTTAAAGCTTTAGATAATTATATGTAAATATCAAACTTTATTTAAAGTTACAGGGTGACTATGATACCAATATATATAAACAGGGTGTTAAGCCAATTCAGTTGGTGTGAATGAATTCAATTCTCCGATTTTAGCTATCAGGCTATATTCACATATTTAGTTTTTTTTGGGGCTAGCACCTAGTGGATGATCTATGCGTGTTCATGTGTGGATCGACTGTAGAGGAAACCCCGTTTGGTTTTTAAGTGCCGTATCAGACTTTTCATTAGATCTAAAAGGTACAATCCTAAAACACCCTATGGTGTGTTATAATTAATTAAATGTCTCATTGATCAAGCTTTTGGGTTACCCGGGTACTTAAATGTTTGAAATTTTAGTACTAAAATGAAAGTTTTGAAAATACGTTACCCAAAATAAGAATCAAGTTAAAATACGTTGTTTTTTCATGCAATTTGCCATTTATTTTATATATAAGTATATTGTTTTCGGGTGAGGCTCCGTTGAGAAGAAGAGTTAAGATGAGAAACATAATAAGAGATCTCCATCATTGGATGTATTGCACCGAGATGTAGGGGTGTTCATGGGTTGAGTTGATCGGGTTGAAGACATTTGAATAACCCAACCCAATGCTTGCTTTTTGAAAAATCTTAACCCAACCCAATGTTTGCTTTTTGAAAAATCTTAACCTAACCCAACCCAAACCAAAGTGCCACCCAATCCAACCAAAACCGTACGGGTTGGTCGGGTTGATACTTTAATACATTAAAATATTCTTTTAACCTTGAATATGTTATTTTCCTACTCATAATTTTCTTTTCATCATCAACCACATGATACAACTTATCCATACTTCTTACGTATATCACATTCAGTTAATTTTCTCAATTTACATATCTATGTTCACAGTTACTGAA